TATTTATTTTAACTTATTAGTGTTGGCAAAACTTCCTTGTTCCTTTTCCATAAAATCTTATAAGGCAGTTTAGAAAACATTTATTAGTATTGCAATTTTCTCGGCAAGTAGAAGAAATGGCTTAACATTTGTTCCGAAAGATAACATAAATAATGTCATATATAACAATATCCAAATAGGAAAACTTCCCTACATGTTTTATTATAAATTAACTTTAATAACTCAATATTATATTACAAAATTTATATTGTTCGCATTTTCATTACTTATGACCTTATTGTTAATAAATGTAATATTAATATAATTTGACAAGTAAAGCATTAAAAGACCATATATATATACATGGCTATATACTTCCTGACAGATGTGTTTGTGAATTCCCCCGATGAACACAACATTTAGTGCCATTGTGTTATGGTTTATCCATATTGGATGTACATATTAAATAACAAACGTCAAGTTGCCTATAGATAGATGTATGTATTTGTAACATTAGTGAATTTGTGGATGTGTTGCAGCCTTGTTTATGTAAGAGCAATTGACTATTAAAAGATTCCATATATCAGTTCTTTTGATCATATATATCATTTAGCAGAGATCAATTCATATCCTGCAAATAAGATGAAATAAAGAATACAATGCTAATACTGTGTTACAACAAAGTATCATGGTAATGTGGAAGACTTTTAATCCAGCCACGAAAACTATTACTTTTAGAGTGTGACAGTATATAATAAGATTACACAGTAACATAAAATTGATTTTTTTAATAAATATCTTTTGAAGGCAGTACGTTCATAGCACTGAGATTATGGGTTTGCCAGAATCAAAGTCCTTAGAATCAAATAGAAAATCACCAACATTATATTATTGGCCTAGACAAAACACATATTGTTATTCAGCTGCATAATTTCTCTGTTAAATACATAGTTTTCAAATTTAAAAAAATCACATTGCTGAAACTAACCCTTTGTGATACATAATCGAATTTCATCTTCTCTTTTAATAGCATTCTCTTTTAGTAGGGGAATGGACGTGTTGTAAAATATCTTCAAGTTCTGATAATATAGAAGATCTAACAATTTTATTATGTTCTAAGATATTATTCATTCTGACATTCCTCAATTAAAGAATGTTAATGATATAGCCTCCGATAAAAAGCTATTAAGCATTAATATCGATTTATATTCATTTCATATAAGTCTGACTTAAAAACTAAATTTCTGTATAAGATTAATGACTAAGGAAATAGTTCTTGGACGTCCACCAAATTGGGTCTAACTTACAATCTACTCATATGAAAATTTTAATTCAACAATAATCTTCTGTTATAAATCATTCTTTCTAGTAATAAGAGTACTATTTAAACTGAGTTAGAGGAAAAAAAAACACTCACACAATCTTAACATAAATAAAATTATATATATATTTGTTACTAAGTTATTTTATTACTGGTGCATTAGTAAATTTAACAAAGTTTTTTTATGAAATACATTTAAGTTTTCTTCAAAGTGGAAACAAGATTTTGAATATTTATTTATAATATTTTTTATGGAACAACCTTTACTATTATTCATGGTTTACAATGAGAAATACAGCATTGTGCTTGGTATTATAATAATAGCCACAGCAACTATTACTGAGTAAATTTGATATAAAGCAAGTCTATAATTTAAAGTTGAAATGGCGTCAAATTTCATCCCATCAGTTAGGGCCTCGTTACTAGATGGTAGACCAACCATAAAGTTATGACTTCGTCGAGTCTCTTTACATTGTCTCAAAGCAGACATATTTTATAAGTTTTGTCTATAACAGTATATGTTTGTATAAGAATTGAGAAAGCTTTTTAAATCTTGAAATTATTCATTATAATATTAACTAATATGACCTTACGTAATCATAAGTAAATCGTAAATTTAGTGAATAAAAAATATAACACTTCGATTATTCTCTACTTGGTTAAAAAGTCAAGTAACAACCACGGAAATGATAATTTCGAAATTTATAAAGACCACATTAACATTGCCACTGAATACATTAATGCCACGACCACCAACCAAATATTTCTGTGAAATTCTATCAGTATAAAGTCACTTAATATTAAATATATATATATTTGACTAATGTAGTAATCATCTAATTGTTATTAATTTCATTACTGACTTGACTGTTGACTATTTAATTTATTTGATTTTTTTTTATATCCTGATCATTTTGCATATTTACCTTATGCTATGTACACTGTAAAATTGTATTTTTTTATTTTTATCGAACACTTAGAGGGGATTCCGTCCTATTGTTGGGGTGAATTTAATGGTCTCAACCATGTTTGTTTGTTTCTTGAGCAACAGATCAAATAAGTACAATCTTTATCTGGAAAAGTCTAGTGATAGAATACACCACAACAAATACGAAATTATGCTATATATTATTATGATAATCCATTAACAAGGTATTATTTTTTATGTATGTCCTTAAATAATCTTTAAAAGATTCGTAATAAATTTGTTTCATAAAAAATCATCATTAACAAGTGTTCAATTATAGTTTTATTTTAAATATCATATTGATGATATACGAAAAATAGAACAGACGTAACGGTCCATTATAGGAGTATGTGCAGAAAACTTGTTTATAGTAATTGAAAATCTACATTTATAATAAATCTGTAGAGAGGTCAATTCTATACACAAAAAATATTTAAAAAATAACTATCAAGGGGTGGTAAGGGATCGCTACTGAAGCCAAAAATGCAATCAGTAAAATTTTTGTTTGTCTGTCTGTCTGTCTGTCTGTCTGTCTGTATATTCATTATGGAAAAATTAAGTTGTTTCTCGCATGGTCAGGTGTATGTTGCTCTTTCCCGTGTTAGCAGTTCTAACAATCTTTATGTTCACGTACCGGACGGGTCAACTTTTAATATAGTGTACCCGGAAGCTTTGCACGGAAGTATTTCCGTTCTATAAACTATAGGTACCTTTATCTTACCTTTATAAGGCAGTGGTACTTATATTGCCACCAGAATTTTAACCTTAACACATTATTATAAAGTTTAAAACCAATAAATATTTTTAGTTCTGTGTCTATAAAAGGGTTAGTCCTCATGTGAACGTGATCTAAACAAATTACCAATATAAGTAATAATAATTAATATTACCAATTTATTAACTTAATATACAAGCAGTTACAATCTGACGGAGTCGCGGGCACAGCTATCTATACTTTTCTGTCGGAAGTCACTATTCCACGCAGACGAAGTCGTGGGCAAAAGCTAGTTTTAAAATGAATATGTTTAGTTTACACTTTTTTAAATCATAAACATTAATTAATTATCCTATTATTTGTCTGCACTTCTGATTGATTGAACAATAATGACAGTTTGCGTATTATTTCTCGTCACCTAAGTATCCAAAAGTTTATGTTGTATTCAGCAGAAAATAAATAATATTCAAACTTTATCGCAAAATCGTTGAATTGTATTTTTGCGGTCACAAAAAGATGTTTACTTTATCGATTAGTCTTATAAATTTATAAACAGTTTATAAATGAAGTAATAAAAGAAACATACTTTAAATCTTGTATATACATTATTACAACTATAATTAAAATTACCCAAAACAAAATAATAAAACGCGTAATATATTCGAAAAAACTACATAGTTTTCTTTAAGTATGTATATTAACGTAAATCAGAGATATTTAAACAAACATAAATTCAATGAGCATCGGAATACGTGTTAAAACCGATGGTACTTACGCAAAAGTATTATGTAATGTAAATTTTCTGTAACAAAATGCGTATAAATAAATTACGTCACCATATTAATTCTCGTAAATCTGCCAAGGAGGAAAAAGTCCAATGAAGTAACAACACATTTTTTGTGTCGCTTCACCTTACCTTCCTGTTTAAAGAAGCAGAGAAAAATTAAATGATATATTTAACTCAGGAGAAGAGAACATTGTAGATAGCAATTACGTCAAACAACAACAAAATATTGGATAATACGAGAACTGTCTCGTTAACTTAACTGTAACATGTTAACTGTAACTATGTATAACATAATAATTATAATTTATTCCATGATGAAAGAAAATTTTATACAATTCTACAATTCTAACTTCTTACAAAGAAGCTCTTAAAAACTAGAATATTTAAATAACCCTTTTTTGTTTTGATAACGCAGGGAAACGCTTTTTACGAGCCGTCCAACACATCCGAAGGGATGTGTGAGACTCGGCCTGGGCAGGCACCTACTCACTAAAACCACTGCGAAAGCCATCGGGCGCTATGTCCGTGTACCCCGGATTTGTCAGCGACAGGGCACACCAGCTGGCTGGTCCTGGCAAAGACCGGACTTACTCCCTCGGAGTTTGAGGGCGATCCCGGCAATTAGGACCGCCTCGACGACGACGGGCTTTCACTAGAGCCGGGTTACCAAGCCGACCCCAGCTAAGAGCACAGGGCTGCTATTGGAGGCGTTGGAATCGCCTCTGTCGCATCCCCGTACGTCGCCTGCCGAGAGAGGTTGCATCAGCTGCATCCTCCCTTTCCCGCTCCGATGCCTCCTTCGTGGACATGACCGTCTCACAGAAGGAGGACACCGCCAGCCAGGACCTATCACTCTCGAGAATCTTCTCCACGATACTCGAAAGCGACAAGACCACTCCGCCGAATATTTAAATAACCGTGACTAGTATCATTTAATTACCAGCTGGTTATGAGATGAAATAATGAGGTTTTTCTTTTTTGTTCGCTTTAGGTGTGACGATGAGATTTGTGAAATAAAATAAATAAGAGGGCTTAACTAAATAGAAAAAAACATTATATTAATTTTATCATATCTCTTCAGGAATTAATTTTATAATTGATAACTGATCACGTTATAGGCATGAATTTGGCATGATCAACCACAATGTGATTATCGTTATCGAAATTTTGATTTAATAGAATTGTTTCAATACATACTTACTTAAAATATTAAAGGACTTTTAAAGAAATATTATTCGTTCTAAACCACATTCGTTTATAACCATTAAGTATGATAAAAATTTATTCTATTTATTTCAAACTACAGGTATAGCAAAACTAAAGAATACCTCTGTATTACTTTGTAATAATTTTTATAATTATATAAATATCGTTATATAATATTGAAATGCATTATAATATCTAATGACACGAGTGAAGCACGTCTTTAAATAAGAACATTTATTTTGATTACATTGTTTATTATAAAACTTATCTGTCAGTGACACAGACATTTAATTGTTCCCATTTCGATCATATGATTCATTAGAAGTGTTACTTTTCATTACTTTAGCATTTGTAATCTTAAAACAAGATGTAAATATGAATAGTTATTATATCATTATCATTTTCTTATGGCACATGCAACATTATGAAAAGAAATCAATATACCATAAAACCAACAATAATATCATAAAACATTAAACAACAATAATAGAAACTTTGACTATGATTCATATGTAAGCTGTTATTTTGTTTTCAATTTAGGCGTAGTTTTGAAAAATTGTGAAATAAAATTTACAAGCATAAAACCTACTAAAGAAATTCCTGCTAAAACTATACATATCCCTAAGAGAATCACTAATATTAATTCCATTTCAAAGTATTCCCAATATGACATATTAGCTGCAGCCGATCGTAAATGTTTTGCACCACCATGTCTTAATACATATTCAATCCACCACATGGTCCGATTAAGAGGTGTTTCGGGTTGATCACGCATTAGATCACGAAGTTTTGATATATTGTGACGATAGCTATAAATATACAAATAAGTATTATGTAATAGGCCATTATCTATGATAAGCTAATGTTGATAGATTATAATATTACTAAAACTCACCTTCCGTCACTTAAAACTTTTTCAATGGCTTTGGATAGTTGATCTGGTGATAAGGTCTTAACATCTAATTTAATACCGATACCAAACTTTTCATATTTCTCAGCATTAAACCATTGGTCCCCTAACATTGGAATCGATACGAGAGGAACTCCTGCTGTAATGGCTTCATCAGTAGACTGAAGACCAGCTTGTGTTATGAAAAGTTTAATATTCTTATGCCCTTCAAAAATAATGGAATTTTATTAGTTATAAATACAATAATTTATAAATCACCAACAAGTTTTAACTTAAAATTACTTAATAGATCAGATTGTGGCAACCATTTTGATAATTTGATATTGCTGGCTTTTATAGGTAGTTCATCTTTATCCCATTTCCATAGTATATCGTAGGGAAGTTTTGATACAGCATTTATAATAATTTTAAGTTTATCTTTAGGAAACACGTCCGATAGTACGTTGGTTCCAAAACTCACGTAAATGACTCCATTTTTAGATGAATCTAAATATTGTTGAAGTTCCTGCAATTTTTAATATAGTGAAATAGTTTCAAAATCCTATAAAACAAAGCAATATGTCTGTGCCATACCTGTGGTAGCTGTTTTTCGGGTAACTGATGTATACCACCCATATATATTACATTGGGGGCAACCGGCTGATTGCCTACCCATATGGGATGGACATTTAATAGCAACATGTCAACATTTTTATTCAGTTCCTTCAGCGATGGACATTGAGGACCGAAAACTTCTCTCAAATAAGCATTTTCTTCTTCTCTATTTAAATAATCTGCGTACTCAGCATAAGCATGAATATATAATTGTTGTAACTTTTCAGTCAGCGAGAGATTATAAAACCGGTTACGAAAAGGTATCGGATACAAAAGAGGATGAGTTTGAGATCCCATAACATTATGATTATCGAAAACAGCTGTGAATGAACTAACCAATATAACCGGTGCCTTAAACAGATGTGAATATGATAAACCGAGACGATTAATAGATTCGATTAAAATCAAATCAAATTTAGGCCTCTCAGATATTAATTTCTGCACCTCTCCTGTTTCCAGCTGTGCTTGAAATATCGCTTTCATAAACATAGAAGTTCCCCTTATATCAGTAAATGTCATAATATCTCCAAAGACTTGTACTTGCTGTTTTAAAATGTTGTGTAAAACTGCATAAGAAATATCGTGAACGTCTATTTCGTGGTAGTTAGGAGGCGCTTCGCCTTTCTTATACGCTGGGTCTGGTGTTATGACGGTAACATTGTGACCTCTATTTGCCAAACCTTGAGTTATTTTTCTAAATACCACTTGATGACTGATAGATGGTACGGGAAATACTCCTAAAATATTTGCTGCTTCAATCCGTGATAATGCACACATTAAATAAACTATAAATAATTTTAAATACATTTTACGTACACAATTGCTAATGTATATCTTCGTAACAGTCAATTAACTTCTGACATGATTTATTAAACTCGTTAGTTTATCTATATTGGACTTGATTGAAAAACATACAATCTTATCAAGATACTGGAACATCTTGCTTAGATTAAGTAGTCTCATTTGATAGCGACCATAGTAACAACTCGGACTACAACTTATAAAAACAGTATAAAGTTTCTTACATTTCGGCTGCCAAAGGTTATGGTTGCTACAAAGTAACGGAAACGTCGGGAGTATGTAGTTTTTACAATAACAAAACTCGCGCAGAATAATCGAAAAATATTAGTTTCAATAAAATTTCTTAGAATAAAATAATGTTAAATTAATTTTTGCGACAACACCACTGATATTTTTTAACTAGATCAACGTTCACAGTGCATGCAAACACCATTAAGAATTAAAACGTACATACTTAATTAATTTTCTGGAATAGCTGTGATCATATTTTTTTAACGTACTGTTTTATTTTCGTACATTTATTTCTATACTGGTATATACTTTATTACGAAACTATCTCTCATCAAATCATTGTGAAATATATTTCCTTATCATATGACATAAATTGTTTAGTTATTGCAATTTAATATAGAGCACGATTCTATTTTCTATCATAACATAAAATTTTAATAAGCAGTGAATTTGTTTTTATTGAAAATCGAATTAATATTATAAACATATTTATAATTAATAAATAATTGGTCACATCATAGTTATAAAAATGGCATTTATCTTTATCTAAATTGTGATTTGATGGAATTGGTGTAATACTTACTATATTAACCGACTTTTAAAAAATATTGTCAGCTCTCGACCATATTCGTTCATAACAGTTAAGTGTGATAAAAAAAAAATATTCTAATGTAATCTTCAAAGTACCGGTACAGTAGAACTAAAGAATACCTCTGCATTACTTTGTTATAATATGTATAATTATATAAATATTGTTGTGTAATATTGAAATGCATCACATTAGATGATGCAAAGAGTGTACCACGTCTTTAAGTAAGAATATTTATTTTGATTACTTTGTTTATTATACAACTTATCAGTCCATGACAAAGACATTTCATTGTTTCCATTTCGATTAGATGATCCATTAGAAGTGTTACTTATCATAACTTTTGGAATTCTAACCTTTCATCATTTTTGTTTACTCTTCTAAAATTATGAAAGGAAATTAATAAAACAATAATATTAGAAACATTGACTATAATAAATATATTTAAGATGTTATTTTGTTTTCAATTTAGGCGTAGTTTTGAAAAATTGTGAAATAAAATTTACAAGCATAAAACCTACTAAAGAAATTCCTGCTAAAACTATACATATCCCTAAGAGAATCACTAATATTAATTCCATTTCAAAGTATTCCCAATATGACATATTAGCTGCAGCCGATCGTAAATGTTTTGCACCACCATGTCTTAATGCATATTCAATCCACCACATGGTCCGATTAAGAGGTGTTTCGGGTTGATCACGCATTAGATCACGAAGTTTTGATATATTGTGACGATAGCTATAAATATACAAATATGTATTATGTAATAGGCCATTATCTATGATAAGCTAATGTAGATAGATTATAATATTACTAAAACTCACCTTTCGTCACTTATAACTTTTTCAATGGCTTTGGATAGTTGATCTGGAGATAAGGTCTTAACATCTAATTTAATACCGATACCAAACTTTTCATATTTCTCAGCATTAAACCATTGGTCCCCTAACATTGGAATCGATACGAGAGGAACTCCTGCTGTAATGGCTTCATCAGTAGACTGAAGACCAGCTTGTGTTATGAAAAGTTTAATATTCTTATGCCCTTCAAAAATAATGGAATTTTATTAGTTATAAATACAATAATTTATAAATCACCAACAAGTTTTAACTTAAAATTACTTAATAGATCAGATTGTGGCAACCATTTTGATAATTTGATATTGCTGGCTTTTATAGGTAGTTCATCTTTATCCCATTTCCATAGTATATCGTAGGGAAGTTTTGATACAGCATTTATAATAATTTTAAGTTTATCTTTAGGAAACACGTCCGATAGTACGTTGGTTCCAAAACTCACGTAAATGACTCCATTTTTAGATGAATCTAAATATTTTTGAAGTTCCTGCAATTTTTAATATTGTGAAATAGTTTCAAAATATTATAAAAAAACTAGTTTTTGCCCGCGACTTCGTCCGCGTTAGTTTCGTCATTAGTAATACATATATGTATAGCTGAACGGGCGAACTCTATTCCGTTTTAGAGGCCATTAATCGCCATCGCTAGTGCCTTGAAAATTCTCAAAACGGACACAACCGTCGACGACGTCTGCCCTCACGCGTCTGCCCGCGTTCGGGTCGCGCATTCAGCGATGAGACATTTCTTCCCCACCCCACCTACCCCTCTCCCCCCACGCCCCGTTCGCCTGGCACCGCTGCCGGTATTTATCACCGAAACGGTATTTATCGCCGAAATTGCTATGACTCTGCATTTTAAATCTGTGATATCTTCGAAAATATTTATTTAATTTACATGCTGTAAAAAGCCATATTGATCTTCATTAAATGCACAATGAATTTAAGATACTAAATTGGACAAGGATTAATACTGTATTGCTTAAAATCGCTTCGTAAATAAGCCATTATTTCTCGTACAAAGTAAAGGATAAAAAATGGTTATTGTGGGTTATTCCTAAGAGATAAACATATACCATCACGGACTCTTGTAGACCTTTTTAAGTTGTACAATACTGTAGTACATTGTTTTGATCTATCTTGTAGGATTCAGTCAGCGTTTGTAATGTAAGTGCAAAAAATGAGTTTTCTTACGACCTCACATTAGAAACCTCAAATATTGTAGCCTATGTGTTATTCTGATGTATAAGCTATAGCCTATCAGTTATTCTGATGTATAAGCTATATTGTGGTAAAGTTTCATTCAAATCCATTCAGTAGTTTTTACGTGAAAGAGTAACAAACATCCATACATCCATACTTACAAACTTTCGCCTTTATAATAGTTTTTTTTTTTAATGGGAAAAAATGGCAACTGAGCAGACGGCCTACTTGCTGGTAGGTAGTTACCGTCGCCCATGGACATCCGCAACGTAGATTTGCGGATGTGTTGCCCCCCTTGATTGGGGAAAAGGAGGAGGAAAAGATGGGAAAGGGAGGGAAAGGAAAGGTTGGGAAAAGGGAAAGGACAACCGGCTCTCTCACTCACCGGACGAAACGCAGCCTTTAAAGACTACTTTACGCCGATTTTCTGTGAGAGGGTGGTACTTCCCCGGTCGAGCCAGCCCAAGTTCGAGCTGTAGTAAATTGACTACAGCTAGGCTCTGCCAACTCAAAAGTAGGATATATAAAAAAATATATACATATATCTGTGCCATACCTGTGGTAGCTGTTTTTCGGGCAACTGATGTATACCACCCATATAAATTACATTGGGGGCAACCGGCTGATTGTCTACCCATATTGGATGGACATTTAATAGCAACATGTCAACATTTTTATTCAGTTCCTTCAGCGAAGGACATTGAGGACCGAAAACTTCTTTTAAATAAGCATCTTCTTCTTCTCTATTTAAATAATCTGCGTACTCAGCATAAGCATGAATATATAATTGTTGTAACTTTTCAGTCAGCGCGAGATTATAAAACCGGTTACGAAAAGGTATTGGATACAAAAGAGGATGAGTTTGAGATCCCATAACATTGTGATTATCGAAAACAGCTGTGAATGAACTAACTAATATAACCGGTGCCTTAAACAGATGTGAATATGATAAACCTAGACGTATAACAGATTCGATTAAAATCAAATCAAATTTGGGCCTCTCAGATATTAATTTCTGCACCTCTCTTGTTTCCAACTGTGCTTGAAATGTCTCCTTCATGAATTCAAAAGATCCCCTTATATCACTGAATGTCATAACATCCCCAAAGACATGTGCTTTGAGTTTAAAAAACTTTTGTATAACTGCATAAGAAATATCGTGAACGTCTATTTCGTGGTAGTTAGGAGGCGCTTCGCCTTTCTTATACGCTGGGTCTGGTGTTATGACGGTAACATTGTGACCTCTATTTGCCAAACCTTGAGTTATTTTTCTAAATACCACTTGATGACTAATGGATGGTACAGGAAATACTCCTAAAATATTTGCTGCTTCAACCCGTGATAATGCACACATTAAATAAACTATAAATAATTTTAAATACATTTTACGTAAAGAAACACTAATGTATATCTTTCTAACAGTCAATTAACTTGTGAAATCATTTATCAAACTCATTAGTTTATCTACCTCGGACATGACAAAATAACATACAATTTTATCATGATACTATAAAATGTTGTTTAGATTAATAAGTTTCACTTGATAGTGACTACAGGAATAATAAAGAGCATAAATTATAAAAAAATATAATTTTTTAAAACCAAATTATAATCAAACTTATTTTATTTTCGGCAAAACAGTCACAACTCACATAGCATGCAAACACCAGTAATAATTAAAATTCAATTATTTTTATGTTTTTAAATAGGACAGATAATATTCTTTTTTTAAAGTACAGTGTGTTTTATTTATGTATATTTTTTTCTATTCTGTTATAATACTTTATTACGTAACTATCTCTCCGGCCATCAAATCATTGCACAATATATTTGCTTATCATGTGACTTAAATCGTTTAGTGGTTAGAATTCAATTGAAAGCACGATTCTTTTTTCTAACATAAAATAAAATATAAACAAGCAGTGAAGTTTTGTTATAATGAAAATCAAGTTACTATTGACGGTGTTCTTGATATTTGCTATATCAGATAGCGAATCTTATAAAATATTAGCAGTGTTTCCTATACCGTCTATAAGTCATCAAGTGGTGTTTAGGAAAGTAACCCAAGAACTAGCAAGAAGAGGGCATGAGATCACAGTGATAACACCAGATCCTGCATATCCAAACGGAGGTGCCCCATCAAATTATATTGAAATAGACGTAAATGATATATCTTACTCTTTATGGGCGCAGGTTGTTACACATGGTTTCAACATTACTGGTGAACCGATGACGTTTGACGATATCAGAGAAGGGTGTAAATTTTTTGCTTCTTTATTTCAACTACAATTTGAAACAAAAGCAGTCCAGGAAGTTATTTCGGAGAATAAAAAATATGATTTGATACTTATTGAATCTATCGTTCGACCAGCTCTGGCATACTCTTACATATTTAAAGCGCCAGTTATTTTAGTCAGTTCATTTACTGCTGTTTTTAGTAACCATAAAGTTGTAGGATCACCCACGCACCCTTTGCTGTTTCCAATATCGTTTCGACATCGTTTGTACAATTTATCGTTTTCTGAAAAAATACATGAGTTGTACTTACATTACATGTATGAATATGCGGATTATTTGAATGAAATAGAAGAATCGAATATATTAAGAAAAATATTTGGACCTAAGTTTCCATCTTTACATGAATTAGGTAATAATGTTGATATGCTGCTATTAAACATACATTCTTTATGGGCCGACAATCAGCCAGTTGCCCCCAACGTTATTTACATGGGTGGTATTCATCAGTTACCACAAAAGGAACTGCCGAAGGTAACTTAGCCACTAATGGATAAAATTAATATTTAGGTAAATATTTTGTTAATTATACATACATATGTTTATGTTTTTAATTTCACAGGATCTCAAATTCTATTTAGATTCTTCTAAAAACGGTGTCATATACGTCAGCTTTGGTACCAATGTCTTATCTAATATGATTCCTAAAAAACAAGTAGTTTCAATTATAAATGTCTTATCTAAACTACCCTACGATGTTCTGTGGAAATGGGATGGTGATTCATTACCTTTAAAATCTACAAACATAAGGACTTCGAAATGGTTTCCTCAATCGGACTTGTTAAGTGAGTATTAGGATAAATATATTTATTCGCATCATTATGTACTACTGCATAATATTACACATATATTTTGTAGGACATCCGGCTATAAAACTTTTTATAACACAAGCTGGTCTTCAATCAACTGATGAAGCAATAACTGCAGAGGTTCCTCTTATTGCTTTTCCAATGCTTGCCGATCAATGGTTTAATGCAGAAAAATACGAAAAATTTGGTATTGGTATTAAGTTACAAATTTTATCGTTCACGGAAAAACAATTAGAGAACGCCATTGACGACGTCATTAATAACGAAAGGTGCAGAAACGAATCATTGATAACATTTTGTATACGTGTATTATGGATATATGTATTTTAAATGATAAATATATTTCAGTTATCGAAGAAATATTATCAAACTTCGTCATCTAATGCGTGATCAACCCGAAACACCTTTGAACCGAACGATATGGTGGATAGAGCACGTGTTGAGGCACGGGGGAGCGAAGCATTTACGATCACCCGCAGCTAATATGTCATACATCGATTATTTTGAAATCAAATTAATGTTATTTGTTCTCTTATTAATTACAGTATGCATATTAGCATTTATTTTAGTTCTTAAATATGCTTTGAAGTTTATAGTAAGTATATTCTCAAATAGAAATAAAATAAAGTATAACTAAATTTATTTTATATAGTAAATACTGGCGATTGTAATTATTAGTTTGAATTTTATTCGTATACTTAATATAAGTTTCAGAAAAAAATAAAAGTTACTAATCTCAACTTGTTTATGTTTTAAGCGATGATGTCTTTTTATCATGTTAGTTTTTTACGCATTCTCGTGTTCCTTGTTATATTTTTGGCTAAACATGAAGTTTTATATTTTAAAGCGTTCTTAATTTAAATGACTACCTTGCAAAACGATAAATAAAAAATAATAGTTCATAAAATAAATCCCGGAATATAAAATTTCAAACAAGATAGAGGCAAAAAGAAATTATTTTATTGTACATATATAAATAAGGAATTTGAACGTAAATCTATTATCAACACTCATTTAATTTGAGTGTATAATAAATTATATTGAAAATCAAAGAAATGTAATATTAGAAATCAATTAAAATTTTATAAATGTTCCTTGATGCTAAATGCTCGGTTAATGGTTATTTGGTTTTCTTCTTACCTAAAAATCTCAATTTTTATGCTGTCGATTTTTGATATTTTGTACCATATTTTTATAATTTTAATTTTGTTGCAGTATATCCTAAATTACAATAAATATTGTTTTTGTTACAACTAGACAGATAAGTAGTGTTTAATGGTTTCATGTGATATTAAAATTGTTTAACAACTAGCTTTAGCAACGAACAACAACTAAAACGTGACTATAGAACAATCAAACAATAAAAAATCCACCTTGACAAATACTAATTGTTTCTTTATAAAAACGAATGCAAAGGTACTAAAGAAATAAAAATATTGCATTAAACTACAACTATATTAGCGGAGCACAATTAATTTTTAATCATATTTCGCTATTTGATAGTTTACTAGTTTTTATTCTTTAACATTTTACTATAAGTTTTTAAACTTTTAAGAGTTTATGAAATATTAATGAATGAGTATAAAATTGTAAAATTATTTTACCGTTGAACAGTGTACACTTTTTTAACGTTGAAAAGTGGATGACAACTGTCCTCCAACAATAAGGGGAAATTGGGGTATATTTGACTCCCTCTATACCTCAATGGTTACTCCATCACCTTAACTGAGCGCCATAGGGTCGCTGGCACTTTCCATTGTCACGTTTACTGAGAACACCCTCAATACGTACGCCTTTTTGGAGTTCAAGGCTGGCTCCAATTCGCTTCTCCCCAAGGCTATACAGTCTATCTAGAAATTCTGCGAATATAGTCCAGCCTCCGTCTACTTATATCAGTCAATCGAGCGGATCGCTTCGCTACTTTCTACGCGGCAATGAATTGTTCGCAGAAGGAAGACATGACGACCTTCACATCTTTTATGTGTGACATATTTGGTATGACGCCTGATAGCGAGACTCTTCTGAGAACTGGTGCCTGCTGCTAACTGCTCATTATAGTCAAACACCATATAGTTCCCAAGAGTGTGATGCACTCATACCTCCAGCCCGTGACAATGAACATAGTAGGGGGCTACATGTATTCCTATGATCTTATTATGTAATACCTATAATAAACTTATAATAAATCCTGTAAATTTTGTTCACATACTATTCACTTGGGATATTTAAAAAACATTAACCCAAAGAATACAACGATACATTAAAAATTTATAAGAGGCAAATTTTACGAATGGGTAATTTCATTTTTGAATTAATGACAAAATTTAATTTTGATCACCTTTGCGTCTTCCGTCCGATCACAAGCAAGTTACAAACCAGTAAAAATTATGCTGCTCTTATAATTGCAAAAAACAGACTTGCCCTGGCCATGATTATTGAGCACTACGTAGATTTTAGCTTCAGGAAGAATTGAAAATAAGACCAGCTACTATTACAATACTATTTTAACAAATATGAAATTTTAAATACACGGAGATATAAATAACAAAAATATAAAAAATAATAATATAGAAAAAAAGATTGAAAGAAATACTTAAAAAATATCAACATAGCAAATATAAATGATATGAAACATTTACCAATTTCATGGTATAACATATCTCCTTCTTCCTGGCAATTTACCAGCTTTAGCCAGGGTCTGCCAAAAAAATAACTCTTCCGCAGAACATGTTATAGATAGTTTCGGCTAATTGTTTTTTACGACCGGCCGCCTGCCTGACGTCAACCCATTTTTGGGAATGTTCTTACTGAGCTATTTCAGTTTGAGCATTAATCACCACGCTTGCTCAAGACGGGTTTGTGATTTCAAACTTATAATTGTGAAATTATAAGTCCAGGTTTCCTCACGATGTTTTCCTTCACCGTCTGTCTGTGGTGTCTAAATATTCTTAGAAAGTACATATTATGACTCGGAAAAATCACATTGGTACTTGCCCGGGTCAGGATCAAATCCGCGCCCGCGATAACGAGAGGCGGGCCCGCTAATCATTAGGCCACCACTGACATTAAAAGCTAAAATTTGAGAACGTTTTATTATACATAAGGAAAATTGTAAGTATTTGTTAAAATATGTTCTAAAATTTAGCGATTTTAGTTGTACTGCAAAGATAGTACGATAGCGATGCTTTCTATACTGGCTAAGCAAATATCTTGTAGCTAAGAATAGTAAAACAGAACCAATAATTGTGTCTTAAACGAAACATTGCAATATATAAACTATCAATCTAATAAATAGGCGAAACGTTTTATTATTAATGTAACAGTATTATAAAGGTTTCATTGTCATACACCAAAATTATTTATTTACTATGAAATAGTTGATATAGTCCGGATATACATATAATGATATTTTTGAAGACTACATACTCAAAATAGTAATTAACGCTAACTGTTCCATATTGATGAAGTATATCTTTATTCTCTAATATTTTATGCCTCGCGATACCGTAACAATTCGTTTATTACTTTTAAATATTCTCATTATCATTATACCATTTCTAGATAAAAAAACTAGCCAAATGTTAATTTCAAATCAAATATTAAAGCAGCCCCATATTACATAATAATTAATTATATTCTCATTTAGTTTTTTAACACAAATTATTTTATGATGACTTGCAAAATTAATTTAAAATATAATCAGATAACAATTAATGTAATAAAACACAAACTTGGCTTAATAACACATTGTACATTGAATTTTCACTATCTCACAAAATATGATAAGTTCGAATGACCATATCTAATAATTAATATGTAAAAAGACTGAGACGACATATGATTTTGTAACTTGAACATTACAAAAGGACATATAATCAACTAACGTATAAAGACAGGTTTCGACTATTCGTCAGACACACATGGATAAAGCGGTATAATATAATCATTTTTTGCTTTAGTAAATATCGAATGGTTTGTTTATTAATGAAACAATGAAAAATAACAATATATATTTGTTTTTTACATTACTAAAATTAAGTGATAAACAATTAAGATGACATTGAAAGCATTGTTGATCTAAACTGATAGTGCTACTGAATACTGATACTGCTTTAAAAACTACTTTATTTCCTGCTCTTGTTATCAAAGTAGACTTTGTGTTTATTTTAAAAAATAAGCGTAGTTATTAATACTGTTGAAAGGTAATAAATGTTTTTAAGAAATTTACTAAATATTTTTTTAATCATCATTAAATTTCATGAAAAACAAACCAATATGAAAATAAATAGACAATGTTTTCTTTAAAATTTATACCAGTACATCGAAATGGGAGATAAATTTCTATCATAATACATCACGAAAGTTATGGAAGCGTGACAAAATAAACAACACGTGGAGAAAATCTCTCTGAAAATATATATCTGAAAAACCTAGACGGGTTAGTAAGAGAGATCGCAAATTACGCGAAAAATGTAGTAAATGGTGTTTGAATAAACATATTTTACCAGTGTGCTGTGAAAATACATAATTTATAACTTAATGTTGAATGGAGTTAACACAAGAAGACATGGAGATATGTGAAGGCTTTGATACATATTAACAATTTCTTAACAACAATCCAAAGACAGACTTATGTCTGTTATACTTTTTTAAATCGCCTTCAAAATCTTTATCATATCTAAGGAGATCGTTATTATTCATATCTAGGGGGATGCAATACGTAACCTGAGAAATTCATACGACATTTAGCCGAACTCTAGAACAGTGGTATTGCTTTAATGGGGTACAAATTCACTGGCAGCGTGTGAATATAGGATTCATATGAGCACAGTATATCAATTTCAGAGATTAACAACTGCTATCGTTGTAATTACAACTGTGATGAAGAGGGCATGTGTGCGCAATGGTTCTCATAAACTGATAAAAATTTAATTCCATTCGTATTTTTATGCTCAGTCATTAATGTGACAATTAATATTTATTCGAAAATTTTACGAATGGTAGAATGAAATTAATTACCTATTCCACCACAAAATATAAAACATTTATATTTTGACATTCATGAAAATATGCGTATATAATTTACATATATACCTTTATTTTTACGACTATAAAAAGAAATTCATTAATAATAATAAATTCAAAAAATGTACTATGTTTTGATACAATGTAAAACATAGAAATTGCATTAGTAAGAATCAGATTGAAGGTTTTGTTGGTGTTATTTATCGAAAACTTTTTTTATCCATGAACATTAAAGTTCTATAAAAAGTGTTAATTGTCAGTCTGTGATTATATTGACTCCGAGTTTTTGTTTGGAGAAAAAATCCAATAGTTATTAGTGATTTTGAATGTAACAAGTTCGCGTAATATTGATAACTACAATACTAGAATCAAAATTGAATTAAACCTTGAATTTCTGTTTAACGAATTTATTAAGCCTTACGAAATGAATATCTGAACTGATTGGATTATACGAAAATATATATAATAATTATTTGTTGTCAGTAACTTTTGCTATAAAATATGTTAAGGGACAAAAATAACGATTCCATTTCAGAATTATCATTCTCAAATTATATAACCACAGCGACATGTGGATTCTAGATGAAATATTTAATTAAAAATTGATAAAAACAACTAATTTAATTATAGTTATAAGTATCATTTAAGTTATCTGTCTTTTACATTTATGTATAATGCGATTTTCCTTTATCCATTATATACCAATATTGGTGGTAATTTATCACTGTCAAAGTAGACTATAATTATAATTGACATTTTCAGCATTGGTTTCGATCTGGGACAAACCACTTACTCTTAATTGCGATGGATAATATGAAATTATATCTAATCCTACTTTGAGAAGATAAAGCCTTTCTTTTGGAAAAGGTATGTTATTCCACAACACCATACAAAAATGTTCCTTTTCCTAACTAACTGGTCATTGCTGTTGCATTCAACTTTTTTGCATATATTCTTACATTTGTCATGTTTACATTAATGACTTAAATATGTGAAACAAAATCCCCGATGAACAACGTTAGGATTACTTCGTACATTACGTTACGTTTTAAGATACAATTCAATTGTTGGTGTTTAATGGTTTTAAATGAATAAAACTTACCGCTGTTTCACGACAGTTTTTAACTTATTTAAAAATATTTGCTATTTGCGAATTTCCTCCAGTGGAATTTAGATAAACGAAGGCTCATTTGCTAACCATGTAGCATTTTATTTTGTTTTATGTATTCTAACATACGAAAATTTAGATATAGAATGTGATTTAGTGCCCTCCATATATTCAAAAATTATATAAAATATTCATTTAAATTCAAACAAGTTTTAAAAAAAATAACGTTGTTTATTATACTATAAAACCGCAACATAAATTTTTAATACAATTTATTATGAAGTTGATGTCGATGTATACATCTAAATTAAGCTATGTATGTGGTTTTTAACAAATATTAAAGAGTTCCATATATGCCATTAAGTATGGAAGATGACATCATTCAAATGCCCACCTCGGTTTTTCACAGTGCCACGGATCTAATCTGAATTTGAGCGATGGTTTGTGGTATGTTTGCCTTGAAGGCAAACATAATCGGTGTTAAATTGCATGACCTTGGTGGCCAATTCACATCACCCCTGCAAGGGACAACCTTAGTTTCAAATCGCTCAAGTAGAATGTCAATCGTGGCATCTACTATGTGGCACGTGGCGCCATCCTGCTGGAACCACATGTCGTACAGGTCCATATGGTTTAATTTGGGCTATGAGAAATTCGTTATCATGTTTATGTAGCGCTCGCTATTGACCGTGACCGTGACCGTGAACAATGAATCCATCGGCCCAAAGTTGGCACTAAACGGTAATTTTTTGAGGATGCATAATGAATAACCACCTGGTGAACATCTTGTCAGTTTGTTTTGTCCCATAGGCCTCAATTTTGTTTTTTAACAAAACCAAGACTATTTTTCGGGCAAAATCTGGATCCTCTACGGCCGTTGCTGGCCCCCAAAATCTACTTGCTCTTATTTTAAAACCCTTTAGTATCAGTCAAATTTGCCTTATATTGAAACTCAATAGATATTTTTATTATATTTGTCACAGGTCTCAAAATAATAAATTGAGAAATTTGTTTCGATTTTAACTATTTTTTTTTTTTAAATGTTTGTTACATTCAGACATAAGCCTTTCCACCTCATTATGTTTATATTAATAGCTGTTGTTTGTTGAGAGAATATTACTACGCAACATTAAGAAAAACAAGTAATAATCTAGGGATATAATATTTTAATAAAACAAGATACGATAAATGTTAATACTTAAATCTTGGATAAACATACACCATTCCAAGTTTACGAGCGGAGGTTGTTGAATTATTAATTCATTTAATGATATCAGAGTTGCTTAAGCGGATGAACGGATAATGGCAGGATTACTTTAAGAACACTTTACACAACATGAAGTATTTCTCCATTTTAATTGAAAACAGTATTTATATTAATAGGTAAGCTAAATGAAATGTTAAAGAGGAAAAATATTTTTTATATCTATACATCGAGTTAAATATAATTTCACCAAAATCATAAGTATTCAGAAAAATAATAACCTTACTTAAAAGTTTTCTTGTGTTTTCTATTGTTGAGGGTCCCTTAATCGTCTTGTTTACTACTTTTGCGTCAAGTGACATCTGAAATACCATCTTAAGTAGATATTTAAAGAATAAACTGTTATTCAGATTATCATATAATATTTTATATTTTACTTCATATTTCTCTTTATTTAACTTGACATCATTAGACGACGCGACAAATGTTTCACTTCGCTTCTGCTCGTCTTATTAATATAAAACAGTGAAACGGAATAATACATGTTTTCTTTACACGGAATATGACACAAACAATAAACACTACACACTACAATTATTTACATTCAGTAATTTACTTTTGGCAGTTACGGCAAACCATTATATGTTTCGCTAAGATTTCTAATTCTACATATAGTTTTAAAATATGTATTATGTATATTTTATGCGTATTTGCAGGTATTTTAAGAGCAAAAAAGTAAGTTTTAATCTTGAGATCATATAATAATTGTGTTTTCATTTAAAAGCAATTGCTGGTTTTATTTGTACTAAAAATGCCATTTGCAAAATACTTTTTTCTATTTTATATATCCATATTTACGTTATAGCCTCAACTGCAAATGTAGTATATATGCTCATGTTGCTGAGTTCATACATTTTTCATAATTTGTTATTTGAATAAATAATATGAGTTACAACATTTTTTTGTCAATAATACCGTGTCTATAACTATGTAATTTGACATTGCATATATTTTGAATATTCTTTGTTTCTTATTTCAAACCAATCTCATCGTTTCAAAGCATTCCCCTCTCGATGCAATTCACTTAAGCACTCGAAACACTGATTGTAGTCACTTTCCAGGATGACCTTCGGTTCCGTTTTCGCTATGGCTTGAATCTCCTGGCGAAATGAAATAAAATAAATTGGTATAAATAAAATGAAAAATTTATCAAGAAGTTATATCTGTTGGTCCGTAAAAAAATTCATTAAACGTGTAGTATACTTAAAAGAGGATGTGCCTTCGTCCCTATTAAAATTTCTTTTTCAGTATCGAAACTATGAAAATGCTACTACGGGAGTTTCTCCGGCCGTCGCGTTGTTAGGACGTCGCTTACGAGGACGTCTGGGCGCGTTACGCCCGAACGTGTCAAAGATCGTGGAGTCGGTGCAAGATAGGCAGGTTGCTAATAAAATGGGGTCAACACGTCAAATTAAAGTATTGGATGACGTTATGGTACGCAATTATACTAAGAAAGGAACTAAGTGGACAGAGGGAACTGTAAAAGGTCAGTCGGGTCCAGTGTCGTATAAAGTAGATGTGGGTGATGGAGTAACGTGGCGTAGGCATCACGATCAAGTGATTAAACTAAATAAAAAAGATCGGTTTTCTTTATCGCGGACTAACCAGCACGGCTCGGAAATTCACAAAGGGAAAAATGAGATCGAAAATGTTAGCGAGTGGAGGTCGGCCGGTTGTGAGGGTAAGGAGGAAGGGTTTGAGGACGCGGCAGGAGAAGCCGAGCACAGTGGCCCGGAGACATGTTCATTGTCGCCTGGACCGCGTCCCCCGATAACTCCCCCTCTGAATGCTACTGCTAGAGACTTGCGCGCTTATAACCGCAGAATTAAAAAAAAATGTTAAAAGTAATTTTAAGAAGTCTTTGTTTGTTTGTTTAGTTTCAGTTTATATGTAATACATATATAATTGGATATACATACATACATTTGTACCGAGAACCTAGATTTAGTTTTTTTTATACTGTTAAATACTGTTTAAATACTATTTGTAGCTTTTATAAATAATTAGAATATAAATTTTACTGTTATAGCTATGTTTAAAGTGTTTAAAGTAATTTAAAAAGGGAAAAATGGACGGTTTTATATTATTAAAATATGTCGGTATTTAATAAATCAGTCACCATCTTGCTTCCGAGTTTGATTGACGTTCCAACTATCAAGTGAAACTTATTAATCTAAACAACGTTTTATGGTATCATGATAAGATTGTATGTTATTCTATCATGTCCGAGGTAGATAAACTAATGAGATTGATACATGATTGATTAGAAAGATATACATTAGTGTTTCTTTACGTAAAATATATTTAAAATTATTAATAGTTTATTTAATGTGTGCATTATCACGGATTGAAGCAGCAAATATTTTAGGAGTATTTCCTGTACCATCCATTAGTCATCAAGTGGTGTTTAGAAAAATAACTCAAGGTTTGGCAAATAGAGGTCACAATGTTACCGTCATAACACCAGACCCGGCGTATAAGAAAGGCGAAGCGCCTCCTAACTACCACGAAATAGACGTTCACGATATTTCTTATGCAGTTAAACAAAAGTTTTTTAAACTCAAAGCACATGTCTTTGGGACTGTTATGACATTCAGTGATATAAGGGGATCTTTTGAATTCATGAAGGAAATATTTCAAGCACAGTTGCAAACAGAGGAGGTGCAGAAAATAATATCGGTTAACACCAAATTTGATTTGATTTTAATCGAATCTGTTATACGTCTAGGTTTATCATATTCACATCTGTTTAAGGCACCGGTTATATTAGTTAGCTCATTTACAGCTGTTTTCGATAATCACAATGTTATGGGATCTCAAACTCATCCTCTTTTGTATCCAATACCTTTTCGTAACCGGTTTTATAATCTCGCGCTGACTGAAAAGTTACAACAATTATATATTCATGCTTATGCTGAGTACGCAGATTATTTAAATAGAGAAGAAGAAGATGCTTATTTAAAAGAATTTTTCGGTCCTCAATGTCCATCGCTGAAGGAACTGAATAAAAATGTTGACATGTTGCTATTAAATGTCCATCCAATATGGGTAGACAATCAGCCGGTTGCCCCCAATGTAATTTATATGGGTGGTATACATCAGTTGCCCGAAAAACAGCTACCACTGGTATGGCACAGACATATGTATATATTTTTTTTATAATATATTGATACTATTTCACAATATTAAAAATTGCAGGAACTTCAAAAATATTAAGATTCATCTAAAAATGGAGTCATTTACGTGAGTTTTGGAACCAACGTACTATCGGACGTATTTCCTATAGATAAACTTAAAATTATTATAAATGTTGTATCAAAACTTCCCTACGATATACTATGGAAATGGGATAAAGATGAACTACCTATAAAAGCCAGCAATATCAAATTATCAAAATGGTTGCCACAATCTGATCTATTAAGTAATTTTAAGTTAAAACTTGTTGGTGATTTATTAATTATTGTATTTATAACTAATAAAATTCCATTATTTTTGAAGGGCATAAGAATATTAAACTTTTCATAACACAAGCTGGTCTTCAGTCTACTGATGAAGCCATTACAGCAGGAGTTCCTCTCGTAGCGATTCCAATGTTAGGGGACCAATGGTTTAATGCTGAGAAATATGAAAAGTTTGGTATCGGTATTAAATTAGATGTTAAGACCTTATCACCAGATCAACTATCCAAAGCCATTGAAAAAGTTATAAGTGACGAAAGGTGAGTTTTAGTAATATTATACATAGTCTATCTACCACTAGCTTATCATAGATAATGGTCTATTACTTAATACATATTTGTATATTTATAGCTATCGTCACAATATATCAAAACTTCGTGATCTAATGCGTGATCAACCCGAAACACCTCTTAATCGGACCATGTGGTGGATTGAATATGCATTAAGACATGGTGGTGCAAAACATTTACGATCGGCTGGAGCTAATATGTCATATTGGGAATACTTTGAAATGGAATTAATATTAGCGATTCTCTTAGGGATATGTATAGTTTTAACAGGAATTTCTTTTATAGGTTTTATTCTTGTAAATTTTATTTCACAATTTTTCAAAACTACGCCTAAATTGAAAACAAAATAACATCTTAAATATATTTATTATAGTCAATGTTTCTAATATTATTATTTTAATAATTTCCTTTCATAATTTTAGAAGAGTAAACAAAAATGATTATGTAGATATTGATAAAAGGTTAGAATTCCAAAAGTTATGAAAAATAACACTTCTAATGAATCATCTAATCGAAATGGAAACAATGAAATGTCTTTGTCATTGACTGATAAGTTGTATAATAAACAATGTAATCAAAATAAATATTCTTACTTAAAGACGTGGTACACTCTTCTCATCAGCTTATATGGTGCAATTCAATATTACACAACAATATTTATATTATAATACATATTATAACAAAGTAATGTGGGGATATTCTTTAGTTTTACTGTACCGGTACTTTGAACATTACCTAAGAATACATTTTTATTACATTTAATGATTATGAACGAATGTGGTAGAGAACTGAGAATATTTCTTTAAAAGTCGTATAATAAAGTAAGTATTAAACCAATTCTATCAAATCACAATTTCGATAAAGATTATCATAAAGGCCAATTTAATGGCAATGATGTTACCAGTTATTATTTATAAATACGTTTTTAATATTAATTCAATTGTCAATTAAAAAAACTTAAGTGCTTGTTTTAATTTAATGTTATGATAGAAAAAAGAATCGTGCTCTATATTTAAATATTGTAATCAGTAAATGATTTATGTCATATGATAAGAAAATATATTTCGCAATGATTTGATGAGACATAGTTTCGCAATAAAGTATATACCAGAATAGAAATAAATATACGAAAATAAAACAGTAAGTTAGAAAAATATAATCACAGCTATTCCAGAAAATAAATAAAGTTAAATTTTATTTATTCTTAATGGTGTTTGCATGCACTGTGAACGTTGATCTGATTAAAAAATATCAGTGGTGTTGCCGCAAAAAATAATTTAACATTATTTTATTCTAAGAAATTTTAATGAAACTAATATTTTACGATTATTCTGCGCGAGTTTTGTTATTGTAAAAACTAGGTACATACTCCCGATGTTTCCGTTACTTTTTAGCAACCATGACCATTGGCAGCCGAAATGTAAGAAATTTTATACTGTTTTTATAAGTTGTAGTCCGAGTTGTTAGTATGGTCGCTATCAAATGAGACTACTTAATCTAAGCAAGATGTTCCAGTATTTTGATAAGATTGTATGTTTTTCAATCAAGTCCAATATAGATAAACTAACGAGTTTAATAAATTATGTATGTCAGAAGTTAATTGACTGTTTCGAAGATATAGATTAGTGTTTCTTTACGTAAAATGTATTTAAAATTATTTATAGTTTATTTAATGTGTGCATTATCACGTATTATCAGTATTTCCCGTACCATCTATCAGTCATCAAGTGGTATTTAGAAAAATAACTCAAGGTTTGGCAAATAGAGGTCACAATGTTACCGTCATAACACCAGACCCGGCGTATAAGAAAGGCGAAGCGCCTCCTAACTACCTTGAAATAGACGTTCACGATATTTCTTATGCAGTTTTACACAACATTTTAAAACAGCAAGTACAAGTCTTTGTAGATATTATAACATTTACTGATATAAGGGGAACTTCTATGTTTACGAAGGCGATATTTCAAGCACAGTTCGAAAAACGAGAGGTGCAGAAATTAATATCTGAGCGGCCTAAATTTGATTTGATTTTAATCGAATCTATTAATAGTCTCGGTTTATCATATTCACATCTGTTTAAGCACCGGTTATATTAGTTAGCTCATTCACAGCTGTTTTCGATAATCATAAAGTTATGGGATCTCAAACTCATCCTCTTTTGTATCCGATACCTTTTCGTGATCGTTTTTATAATCTGTCGCTGACTGAAAAGTTAAAACAGTTATACATTCATTCCTATGTTGAATACGCCGACTATTTAAATCGAGAAGAAGAAAATGCTTATTTAAAAGAAGTTTTCGGTCCTCAATGTCTTCGCTGAAGGAACTATTTATACACTGATTGTAGTCACTTTCCAGGATGACCTTCGGTTCCGTTTTCGCTAAGGCTTGAATCTCCTGGCGAAATGATCACGAATTATGAATGCTGTATGGAATGTTGCATTATCGCGGTGGTAAAACAAAGAATTGTTTTTTAGCAATTCCGGCCGGTCTGGGCAGATAATTTTACCCAAATAAGCTGTAACTTTTATTATTCCTTTAATATAACTATACTTTTAACGTAGTAAATTATTGAAAGACGGAAATTATTTCAACACAATTAAGATCTATTTTATTTGTTCAGCTATTATATTAAATAAATAAAGACATAATTTAATTGTTTAAAAATACGAGCTTCCTTATAAACCAATAAAACTCTTATTTATTATGCTTTGTCAACAAAATAAAAAATACTTCCTTACATTTTAAACATTAAATAATATGTATATCTGGACTAAAATATTGTCTATATGTTGCTCAACAAGATCCTCTTTAGTACAGTAAAAGTCCAGTGAAAAGGCGTTGCTGTTATATTATATATGTATATGCTACTTCATGAATATTGTTTTTTATTTTATAAATGATAATAATTTGTTCTTCTTCATTATAATAACATTCATTCACTTTGTACATTAGTTAGAAAATCGTTAAATGTCTAGATTTGATATTTTGTAGGAAACAAATTTTTGTTCTGCAAAATTATTTTATATAAAAAAGGTAAGGTTTATTTAAAGGCAGGAATACATTATTCATCGTTTGCGTATTGATACCAATTGGAACATTTGTCGAAAATGTCAATATCCATACCTAAATTATGTCGCCTTTACGTAATTTAAAGCAAATTTCATCAGTGTCATGTTAATGTGATCATTTACACACGGGGAAGTATTCATACGAAAAGACATTGGAATTGTTAAAGAAATATTAATTGCCGTTATAGTTACTCCATTAATTCTGAAAATTTACTCAAAGGAATGAAAGAATTTGTGCTGCCTGATTTTTTTATCTTAATGACTTAAGCTTAACTACTATAGAAAAATAAAAGACAAAAAATTTAAATGTTTATTTTAGAAAAAAATACAAAGAAATATGGAATTGACTCACATATTTTCCAGTTCTTAGTTATTTTAAAAGTCGATCTTCGGCTTTATATAACCGTTGTTATAAACAGGTTTTACTATTAACTTGACAGCTCTTTCCCACAGGGAAATGTTAATAACATATGAATGAGTCGTTCATTTTGTATAGAAATGACGTGATATCCTGACACTGAATTGGATAACTTTAGGTCTTTTTAAAACTTCGTGCCTAAATTAAAGAAGCATTTGAGGAATGTCTTAATAATTCTATAAAAAATGCCACTAATTTCCACCGACAACAAAATATGCATCAAATATTTTATTAAAAAGTTAAAAAACGAAACCTTTTAGCATTCAATGGATTCACCGTGCGGGCTGCGGGTCAAGTTCGGATCGCTTATATTAAAGAAAAATGTAAACCTAGTCAATTCTTCAAATTAAAATGTTCTCAATTAAATTCATAAAAAATAAATAGTGTAACGGAAATTGAAATAGGTAACAATATATCTCTGTTCTAAACATATACACAGTACTTACAGTATAATAGAAAACATTTGATTAGTTATTACACAGATATACGTACCGATATCATATATTTGAAGTGGACTTTCACTGTACTAAAAGGATTTTGTTATGCAACATATAAATAACATTTTAGTCCAGATATAATAAGGGTTTCACATCCAAATACATAGGTGAATATAGGTCTTTGAAGCTTGATGTCAGTAAAATAAAAGACCTGTTTCAATTCAAAATAACTGCATACTCAACCCTAGCGATATCTGTTAGAAAAGCCGGTAATAACTTTCCGGTACAACTGATATTCAAATACTATTTACACATCTTTAACTACACAAATGCTAGTCAACAGTGTCTTATATATTAAATACTGCGTATAAGTATGTATTAAATGCATCAAACTATTCCATGTGTATTTTTATCAGTTATAGTAAATTGGTAGGGGAATTTAATAAAACGAAGTCATGGAAAAAAACGTATCTAATCTTTAAACTTAAAGACATCACAATTGACAATCTTAAATTACCTTAAATATTCAGTCCAAAACGGTTGCGACAGCATTTATGGTAGTGCGAATATATATTTTTTTAATAGCAAAACAATGCATATACATATTTTGATACATATTTTCTGTACAAAAGCTCAGATAAAATTATTAAAAATATTTCAACTTCTCATATATTTCTATTTAATAAAATTAACAAGGTTTTATTTTTTTATTCTATGATATTGTATTATAAAATATAATAATAAACTTGAATATCGCTAAAACGTTATTCCAGTTAAAACAATATGTTAAAACGATATGTTTCACGAAAAAACAATATATGTCATTTCATTTGTTGCAAATTCAACAAACTTCTAAAGTATAAAACTGCAGTTTCAATATATTATAAGAAAGTTTTGGCACAAATGGCGGAGTAACATAAGTAAAGGGTCAAAGGGGCAGCTAAAAGTTAGACCCTGATTTATTGCGCTAACTGATTTTAAGACACAAATAATTTAGCTCATCTCAAGTTAATATTAACCTTTTTTTAAACTTATGTTTCCGATTATAGATATTGGTAACTATTAACGATATTTAGTATCATCCATTCAAAGCCGATCTTTATAATGAAGCGGATTTTTTGAAATGACATCTCATCAATAGTAGGAAGGTATTAATGAAAATCTTCGGAGATACCTGCCTATATAATATGGTTAATAATGTTCCTTTGGAAGTTTGTATTTTCTTGTATGGAGCCGTCCATATATTACGTCATTCTAAATTAGGGAGGGGGGGGGGGTTGGTCTGTGGATGACGGTAAATGATGGATAGAGGAGGGGGGGTGTTTCGAAATTAACGTCATTCTTATTTATTTATAGCTTATTGATCACGTACAAAAAGATTATTTCTAAAAAGAAATTTCTTCCACACCTAGTAAGTGAGACTGCAAATGTGAGAGGCGGCTAAGGCGCGTACAATACTAAAACAACTCATAATAAACATACATAATGCAACATAGATGTACACAAATACAGTAATAACTACAGATAAAATACTCTAACAATAATATTACACATAATACTAGCTGCCCGCTCCGACTTCGCCCGTGGTACTTACATGTACATATAAACCTTCCTTAAGAATCACTCTATCTATTAAAAAAAAAACCGTAATACATAGGGATAGACAGCGAAAGCGACTTTGTTTTATACAATGTATTGATAATAAACACAATACTTAAATAATAACTACAACATTACATAATTAATAAAAGTACAAAAATACTATACTTATACTTAAATACATGTCTCATACTAAGGAAAGATAGTGTTCTTGTTATATTTTGCAAGTATTTAAGGGTATTAATTATTGACTCATTATTTATTTATTTATTGCAAGGTCAAGGCATGTCTACATTATTTTTTAAAACTATAAATTCAACTATACTATAAAGGTGATTCTATAACCAAGTGTTTTAATCCTAAAATACCCTATTGTTTTCAAATCTACAATGTTTTTACTTTGTCAAACTGGTAATGACGTCAATTTTGGTAGAAGGGAGGGGTCATTAAGAAATGACTATAGGATGATTGTAGGGTGGGGGAGTCTAAAATCTGAAAAAATCGATGACGTAATTTATGGACGGCCCCTATGACAATTAAATCTGTTATTTTATTTACTAAGTTCTCGTAACTTTATTAAAAATATAAACCTTAATACATATTAAACATTTATTGGAGAACAATCTCAAATCAGATTAAACTTAAGGAGATCAATACAAGAAACCTTTATATTGAAGATATTTTTTTTATTTGAGAAGTGAATGTTTATGTCTTAATAAGGTAAATATGAGTTTGCAAACAATGTTTTATATAATACGTGTTAGCTTTTTGAAAGTAGACAATCCCTTTAATGACCATATAAAAAAATATACGAAGGAAAAGAAAACGTCTGTGATTTTTTTATTTTTACATTGTAATTTTACTTTAATTCTATGCATAGAACTTTAAGTAGGTTAGATGAAATTTCCCAAAAACCATTTTATTCTTTGTTATTAGAATCCTTGATAACTTTTTTAAATGTCAAATATTTTTTTTATATAACACTAAGTATTGTTTCAACTTCGCTTGTATGATATTCACAATGATGATTTAAAATTTGATTTAAAATTGAAATTATTATTACCATTGGTTTTTCATAGAAAGACATCGTTTTTTGGTTTCATGGTCTTTATAAATTAAATTAATTTTAAAAATATTTTAAGGTTGAAATATAATAAACATTAAAACAATTATTTAGCTTTAACATATTAAATTTAACGAAAACAAACTATTTTCAACGTAATTAAAATATTTATGCAATAGATTTAACTGCGTTTTAAGTTCATAAATTATTCAAATGTCCGTTATCGGTGTTAAATGACGCGTGACAATGACAGGAGTGTCGTGTGACAGTTACGACTAAACCAATACAGTTTCGGTCACACCGCGGAATTTGATGATAGTAAAGTGCAGGGTATTGGTTTGCATAGGCCTTATCCGTCAAAGGTATGGGTTGCATAGTTTCACATAACAAAGTGTATTTATAATTTGACATCACTTATAGATAATTTTTTAATGTTATACCAGTTTTAACCGTAGATCTAATGTGTGGTAGATTCTTAAAGTAATTAAATTATCATTAAGATGGATGGATGGATGTTTTAATATGTTAAATTTTAATACGTACATATTATATAATTTAATCGAAGTTTTAGTTACTTTGAGATTATTTTGAACATGAAATTATGAATATATATTATTTTAAACAACTTAGCTACAAGATATATATACATTAGATTCATAGTGAAAAATAATAGGTCTAATCATTTTTTTTTTCGATTTTAGGAAATTGTTCTCCAAATCGTTTACGATCTACTCGTCACTTTCTACTGTGTAATATCGTCCGTATTAATCTGACAACAATAATATTTTATACAGAACCGAAATTGCTGGAGATGAAATTCTTTTACGACTCTATAAATAATCCGAAAAAATTGGAAGTTATATCAGACGACGTCACGCACTGCATTCGCTTACTTATAATTCCCTAAGCAACGTTACCGGTAATGTCAAACAGTTTAATATAAAATAACGCCTAAGAATTACATATATTTATATTGCTAGTGAGTTAAAAACATTCTTATTCAAATGTAATATTAATGTAATGAAATCTAAATGTTTCGCGAGCATTCATTTAAATGAAACTACTTAATATTTTCAGATTACTTCGCGTATTTTAAGACGAGATCACATCTGCCGTGTAAACAGTCATGCAAAAGTAACCGAAACGTCGGGGGTATGTAGTTTTTAAAAGTAATAAACTAAGCGTAATAATTCGAAAATATATTACGTTTCATTTATAGTATTTATTATGAAAGTGTTATCAATTTAGCAACCAGTAAGCCAGTCTATGTGATAAGGTTAAATGAACCGTCAGTAATAGAAATATCAAGTTGCGTGTTACAATTTATCTACGTCATCGTCTGACGCTATACGAAGAAATATTTAAGATTCTCATGGGGTTAGAGAAAATCAATGTAATATATCAGCTCATATGTTCTCTGTTCATTGTTTATTCTTTCGGCAACAATATTAAATCACTTTCACTCATATTTTTGAAATAATATTATATATTCTATTTTAATATATAAAAGTCTTTATTAGGTTCAAATTTGTTTATTTTTTTGCTTGTGCCTATTTCAATGTAATTGTTGTATTAAATTTTTGTATCCATTGTAGTTCATATAAATGTATAAGTCATAATAAATTCTGAAATTAGCATTATATTCATAGAGATTTGTAGTGTATTTATATGTAATTCCATTAATATTATAAATAGATACTTTTTTAAATGGCAATATTGAATAGTCATTTTAAAGTTATAACTATTATATATTTCAGGGACTTACCTTGACAGAAGTGGGCTACGGCGTTCAAAGAATATTACGAAGAGTTACAAGAAGCTGCAAGAAAATACATCAAGGTACAACTACTTTTAATTATTTTTTTTATAATGTACTAGTTTTTGCCCGCGACTTCGTCCGCGTTAATTTCGTCATTAGTAATATAGGTATAGCTGACCGGGCGAACTCTATTCCGTCTTCAATAACCCGGTATTGGTATTTATTAAATTTCTACTGTTTCAATCAAACAGAATGATTGATAGTTAGTTGTCAAGTCTAATGTCAAAAAATCGTTTGTATGTGAAATAGAGAAGGGCTGTTTTTAGGGTTTTTTCGGCAATCATTCCAATTTTTCTCACCTTTTAAACCTTCCCTGGACTTCCAGGAGTATTTCAAGACTAAAATTAGCCAAATCGGTTCAGCCGTTCTCGAGTTTTAGCGAGACTAAGGAACAGCAATCCATTTTTATATATATAGAAGATATTGCTGGTAGCCCTTTGACTTTGACAGCGTCAAAATGGGCTAGCGTTGAGACTGAGTCTTTCAACTTCACTTATATTTAAAGTGTGGTATGGTATTCAAAATAACAACATTCACTACTGTTATAAAAAATATAAAGCAAAGAGCAAAGATGAATAATCGAATGTGTAATTTAAGTGTAATATTACTAAGAAGCAGTTCTTAGTATTATCGTGATATTTCTATTCTGATAAATATTAACACGGATATTCTAGTACGAAGTGTTTTAGCATGATTCAAAAGGTATTTCGTAATAAAAAGTATTAAGTAAGTTGATGCAAAACGTCGGCCATTAAGTTGAAAATAGACTTATTATATTTTGCTTCTAGAAAATTAAATTCGTAATAATATTTTTAGAGAGTTTAGGTATCAATAAAAATAAAAAATACCATTTTGTTTTATAAAAGTAAAATATTAAAAAATATATTTTTGAATTTTATGGCTTAAATTTCGTTTATAAAAAAAAAACTATTTCTTTCATAAATACAAAATCTAAGCAAAAAAGTATCTACACTTTAACGTTATTGGCACTCCAACTCCATTCCAAGTAGGTTATAAATGTGATTTTTATTGAAATTTTCAAATATTATCCAACCGCTATAAGGAAGCGAACCACCACGGAAAATTCTATTTATATATTCGTTGAAATTTATTCTATTGACTGTTTATCCCTCTCTTTCGGTTATTGGTAAATGGTCAGTTATAGAGGAAAATGAATAGAGATTTCTTAATGCTCTCACCAGTTTAGATGAATACACACATTATTCGAAAAAGATTCTACCCAACACCATTTCACAAACACATCACATTATTCTGGTAAGGAGATTCACAAAATATAAGTGAATCTGGTCGAGAATATATTTTATTAGTACGGTTGAAATTGTTATATGAAAAATGGTTATCCAAAAGCAATATTCCAAGCTTACGTGATTTAAAGGGTGAAAGAATAATTCAATATAACTTCCGAAATCCAGTACTTTCCAATCTATGAATTTTTAATGTAGATATTTACATTAAACCATCCCTGTATCATATAAAGTCGTAAAGTTAATAAAATTTTGACGCCTGATATGAAAATAATGCAATCTTATTTTATTGTGTTATTGAATTAAAAATAGTACAGGCACACAAAGAAATTTATTGGTCATTAGAAAAAGAAACCCAAGCTTGGTCCTGCAGAAATGTAGAATTTTTTAATAATTTATTTAAATATCATTAGTTTTGTAATTGTTTTGGCTATAATAGAAATAATATTTCGCCTATTTGACTGTCTTCTTTAAAAATAATTAAAAAAGATACGATGCAAAGCAGAAATTACTTTGATTTTTGTTTCGTTGTTATAAAATATGAATAGTATTCAAGAACAAAGTGCAATAACTTTTTAACTTAACTTTTAAAATTAGACACAAGACAAGAAATATTAATGCAGTCACGTTACTAAAGTGTTATTTACTTTGTGATGCAAGCATCATGTTGGTAGGTACTTGGTTAAGGCACGGTACAGACTAATGAGTAATAAAAATTACCTTTTCTTTAATTGCAATTAAATCATTCATATTTTATTTTAATAAAATCAACGTTTAGATTTTTATCCTTCACATATATTGTTTTTTGAAATATAATTTTTATATCACGCCGCTAGTATTTTACTGTATAAGAATAAAAGCTATTCATTGAATACAAGTACATATTTTACGTAATACACATATTTTTTTTACACTTAAAATAAAAGTTGGTGTATCCTATCCTTTAAAAAACAGCTGCGGATAGTATAAAGTATATCTTATGCATGCTCTATTCAAAATTTAAACACAATGCTGCAAGCGTCCGGAAACATATGACGCCTTTACAGTACCAGCAACTTTCCGGGACAGAGAATTGTTTTATAATACGATTATTTCTGAATTTGTGTAGCTCCTTGAGAATAATGTGGCTTTTATTAGATTATGATGTCAAAATAAGAGGATGTATCGAGCGATATTTATTTATTTTTATCAAAGTAAGATCTGTTTAGGAAACTTATTTTTTGGCTAATATGATTGAAGTTTTAGCTTATAGAATTATTGTGATACGTGTATTTAAAGAGGAAAGTAGGTTTCTAGTTCTTACGCGTACCACACATTTAAGAATTCTTAAACTTCAATCCTTAAGGCATATTGTTGAAAAGTATAAATTATCCTTTTATATTTAAAATAATAATTATGTGCAGAAGAAGTTGAACCCTATTTCAATAAATGCATGACAGCGTAATATTAACAAAATTTTTCGATCATGTTGCTAGAATGCTTTCCATATTAACTATTCATTTTACTTCCTCCTAATTAAAGCGATGGAAAATTAAATAAATTTTATTAATTAAATGTGTATTATATATAAGTTTGACATATATTTTTCAATGATTTTTCTCTTCATATTCTTATTATAATGACCAATCCATCAGGATTTTGGTCTTATGCGCTCTAAAGTGTTTCTGCCTCTTCATATCCTGGTGATTTTGAACTCAAATTGCAAAGGGAAATGGTTTTTTTTAAGCTTATGATTTAGTCATTGATATACGTGCAGTGTGTTTCTTGTATTTTCCTTTTGGAGATGACAAGATTATAATTATTATTTATGTGATAGTTGCAAAAATAAAAGATTTTATGAACAGGTAACATTTTTTATATAATGCATCAACAATCTTAAAAATAAATAAATCAACTACAACAAGATCGTTGAAAATGACTTAAAATTAGACAACAATATTTACAAGGCACGGAACATTCACACAAACAGACCATAACACTTTATATTTAATCAATGGTGACCTTTGTGGTGTATGGTTTTATAGATTGGGATCTTCACGGGATAAGGTTGCGGTACTTCAACTGTGACGGTCTTTTCTATCCTGATAGGGACATGCTTTTCAACTGGATAGGGAACATGTTTAACTACGGGATAGGGCACAACCTTTTCAATTGGAATAGAAATTTCAGTCTCCACGGGTACAGCGACTGGCTTGTGCACTGGAACCTTAACAGGGTAAGGATGAGGAATTCCAATTAAAATTGGTTTCGGTACGTTCACATGCAGAGGCTTATGTATTGGGACAGTAACATGTTTGTATAGAGGCACCTCCACGGGATGTTCTTCATCAATATGTTCGCCAACTGGGATGGCTTGAGCATGTCCAAAATTATGTTGGTCCCCAAATTCATGACCGGCATCTTGAAGAACAAATCCTTGCTGACCATTGTCGTGGTATCCACCGTTTCCAAATTGCCCACCAGAGTGACCACCATCGTGAATAATTTCACCGTGATCTTGTTGGACACCATATTGTTCAGTCAAATGGCCGTCATTGCCGCCATCATGATTCTGACCTAATTCGTGAGCAGCTTGAAGGTATGAATCTCCATCAAAATTCTGTCCTCCATGACCGCCTAAATCAAAGGCTTGCTGTTGGCCATGCCCTTGACTTAATGCAAGAGTGTAATCATTTCCTTGCCCAAAACCGCCATGACCACCAGAAAAATCTTGGCCGTGATCAAACTGTTGTGTTTGCCCTCCGCCAAAGTCATGGCCTCCGTCTCCTCCAGAAGAAAAATGATAGTTACCGCCACCCCCCAATCCGTTGTTTCCTAGGTGTTCATTCCCAGAGTCAAATCCGGCCTTGCAAGTCGTTACAGCTAATGCCAATAAACAAATCTGTAAACAAAGACTTATCTTAATTAAACCAATCAATGAAAACAGTGTATTTCTAATCCTCTTATACTAATTTAAGTTATTATTATTTAGCTCTTCATAAGCTTTATTTATTTGAAAATCTTTTAAGTCGGTTATCGGCACATGCGTCTAAGTGATAAATTTTAAATCCTTGAAAATGTTAGAATATTTTGGTGTAGTCGCTTTAAAAATGACGAATACATTTAAATTATATAGTCTATATAAAAAAGACCGAAAAAAGTAATAGTAATTTATATTATAAATAATAAAGATTATTTGTGTTGATGACATGACGGGTTACGATTATATGAATTATATTGGGTGGTCAAATTATATAACTAGAAATCTTTGTTACTTAAACCCGTTTTCATGACGAAATTTCTATTCACATATCAAACTTTTGATTTTCAAAATTTATTGTTATTAAATTTTTTATTTTATTTCAAAATTTAAATTCCGTATCCTTAACAAATATACCCCTCAATTAAAATTCAACAGTTTTCACCTTTATTCGTACATAATTCAAAATATTCGTGTTACCTATTAAATCCTATTATATAACATTAAATCCTGGTATAGAAATGTTATATGTTCAAATTTTCAAGTAAAAGCATTCAGTGAATGATTGAAACTTTTAGTAAGAGTGTTTGCTTTATAGAATAAGGAATAAATAAGTGTTAAATAACCGCCTTTTGATATCATGACCATCGTAATAAGAAATTTGAACTTTACTGTAATAAAATAAAGCGAACTTTTCATACAAAACCATTGATGCTTATTATACGCTTCGGGTATTCTAAAATTGCTACTAGGAAGTCTTTTTTTGTACTTATTACTTAATGTCGTTGTTAAATAAATCAGGGCGTAAAATTTTTGTCGACTAATTCTAATTCTACTAATTTAATATATACTTAGATACATTAGAAGAAAGCTAAACAATAAAGGAACCCTAATATAAATACGATAGGTACTTAAAAGTAAGTTACTTTGATTATTATTGAGTTGGAAGTAGGCAAAAAGTGCTCAAAACTGATGGTACATTATTTTTTTTTACATTAATGTCCAAAAACGTGTCGCGTTTCACTTCGTTGGGTTGCAATGCCATTCATTTATGTAATATCAACGTAATAGTGTTGTCATGAATTCCAAAATAACAAAGCGCAAATAATTTGTCTATTTTAGATATAGATTACACTACTTATTCAAATCTATAAATAAATCCAAAGGAAATTTGTAACCCATTTAGAGCATTATATGTAATTAATATATTTAAAATTCAAGACATTTTATAATTAATTCTGAAAATATTTTAGAGGCCAAAACTTTAATACTATTGATACTTGGAATTAATCAAAAAATATTGTTGTAACATACATAAGTATGCATATGTATGTTAACAAATTAAGTTAAAAATTATGTATTGTTTGTTATAAATATGTATAAGGTGAGGAACTTACTAAATAATATTTTAAAATTAACCAACGTATAAATAAAATGATCACTATACTTTTACATTTGAAAGTAAAAGCAATATGACTGAAATTGTAACAAAGAGAACGTATCCTACATACTTTCTAGACTAAACTACGGACAATGCATCATATGAATCTTTACTTAAATATAATGTAATTATCGTAGGTGCAATCAATTTATTTGTTGCATTGCAACTTCTACTCTGACCCTCTCAAAGATTAAGATTTGTTATATCTAAACTTCAAAACGAACTAACGATTAGATTAAATCAACTTCAAAGCTCCTGCTTAAAGTTACGATAAGACAATAACTACAGTTACAGGCCAACATTAAACTCAACTAATATTATTATACAAATCGTTTATACCTTATATATTTTGTACAGTATTTTAATAATTATAACAAAAATTTTGGACGTTAACTGCAACATTTGAAAACTTACACTGTTTTACTCTATGTTTAAAAGAGATTTTCGCAACCTACAATTATCTTTAAAAAATGTAATACGTATCTTCAAAACTACGAAACATTCTGGAACTAGAATTTTGACAATTTCTGGTTACATAGTTTTATGTAATAATTTACTTTTGTTTTGAATGTCTTTAATTTTTCCAGCAAGCCAAAATCATTAGTTGTTTAACAATGTTGACGAGAATTAACAACGATAAAACATTCCTCACATTTAAGTAATATCAAACATTAATTAATGCAAATTTTACATATTTTAAACGATAGACCTATTCTGCTTCTGACTTTCATATATTTTTCACTCACTGAAAAATAACTTATAAAATGGAATATGTTGTTTAAATGATTACTATATATTTTAATAACTTATAAGAATATATTTAACATTAAATAATTGCTTGGAAGTTATATCAAAATCTAACATTTGTTCAGACAAATGAGATGCCGAGAGAGCGAGGAACTTCGCATAAATATAACGTTGATTATATTTGAAGACAGCGGAATATATATTTTGATAATAATGGGGTTTTTATTTAACAAATATTCTATTTCAAATATGGGTTTGTTTGAGGAATACACTACATATTAGATATTAAGGGATATATATGTTAGAAACTGTAATAACTTGGGAATAATTAAAGACAAACAACTGGAGAATAAATAGAGGTACTGATATAGTGACAAGAATATGTCAAAAAATAAAACTCAAAAACTAAAAGATTTTTTTAGGAGAAATAAGTTAGGGAGAATTCTATTTTGTATTAACGAGTCTGATATTGAGTATAAAATTAGTATTTCGATGTATTATCCCTCATAAAATACCGTTCAATGCATAATAATATTACTTCCTGATCGTTCCGATAAACGAGAAATGCATTGAGGGCTATCTTAAAGCTCACATTATGTTAACACGTTTGAAAGCTTGTTTAGTTTGAAACACACAATTTTGGACCTTATTTGTAATAGCTTTCGAATTGAATTAACATATTATAAATAATAAAATCTCTATTATGCAATAGACTTCTATGGTAGACTTTCTTTGATTTATTCTATATTTTGCCTTTGAAATCCTTTCCTTCCCTTTAAATAATACAAATAATTTTAAAAAATCTGTTGTTTTAAAATACACCAGCTTAAAAAATATCTTTAAATTAAATATAATGTAAGCAATCAAAAAAAATATTCTAAGTAATAAACAGACACTTACAGTTTCCAAAATCACAATAGCAGCGTAATTATCGTGACAATTATGTGTCGGACAAAGTTATGTCACATTAAATTCCTCATGACGTAGGTAGCGGAGATTTTAAACAAAGGAGTGCTTCGTTATCTCCATCAATTTAACAAAGGAGTTGTTTAGATATAACAAGCGCTACAATATTGTAGCTCTAAATACATTTTTAACAAAGGAACTGACATATGATCTCGAGTAAAATTGCGGAGTTCCCGTAAAAGTATTATAAGTGAAATATATAGGATACGCTTTTGTATTTACATTTATATTCACTTATTACAGTATTATTCGTTGAGAGAAAATTATAAAAACATCCAACAATGTTGTTATTTTACAAAAATAATGTAAGAAATTTTAAGTTTCACGAAATTACTATTTAAATTATGATCCTTATAGCTTCCGTAAAACGATCCTGTCTTAAGCTATCAATACGGAATTGCACTCAAACATCACTTATCACATACCTTATCACGTAATAATAAAAAACACTTACATATAACTTCATCTCGATCTACTTAGTATGGTGGCAGATATTGCAATGATACGAACACTCGGATGTACTAACTTTTTATAGCTTACGGAAGTGAGTGCCAGGGAAAGGCGACTGTTGCTATACATATTTTTTTGTTTTTTATATAATATTGATATTAGTTTAGCAATTAGATAGATATTTTTAAAATAGATTATTCTTTTGTAAAATTTTAATCGAAACCATTGTTACGTTAACTATAAATTACCGAAACACCTGTGTCTATACTTCGTCCAAACAGCCATATTAAAATATATTCCAAAAAGATTTTAAAATTTTTTGCTCTTTTTCTCAATATTCTGGTTTTGTTTAAGCTAGTTGTTTCCTTTAGTGAAAGGTACTATATCATTTTCCATACTATTTTGTTTCATGATATATTGGCGATAAACTAGCAGACGACCCACCTGATGTAAATTTTCTATCTTGAAAATTTATAGATGTACAATTAATTGCAACTTGTTGTGCTGTGATTAAATACCCTATTAATATTAAGATTATTTGATCTTAATAAAATAAACGAGAGACATAAATCGTTGAAGACAAAAAGAGGAGGAAGGTAGACCCAATTAAAATACAAAAAATGGCTATAGTCCAATGAATAATATCGGTAATGATCAATTTGATAACTAATACTTTGATGAATAAATTGAAACACAATTAGTATCAATTATAAAACAAAATACAAAAGAACGTATAAATTTTTGAAATTTGATATGATTCGTAAAATTTTCCGGAAACCCCATTAATCCTCCAATAAATATAAGGACGGAGTCCACAAATTCCTATCGAGTTTTGCAATATAAAGCAAACGAAAGCCTCAAATGATTGTAACAAATATTCATTTCCTTCAATTTGAATATTTAACATCTGCTTGTCCCTTTATTTGTTAGATAAATATTTCTCGTGAATTTTAATTAAAATATTACCATTAATTGTATTCGCAATTTGTTACAAAGTTTTGTTTGAAATATTTCAAGATAAATAAAATACAATTGGAATAATATTTATTATCGTTTTGCCTAGCATCTTCCTCATCGAAACTTATTTGCTGACGCAAAGAAGATTTTATACTTTGCATTTATAATATCAACATCTTCATGAAAATTAATAAAAATTCCTGTACCTTTATAACTCACTCCGTGATTATTACAAGAAGGCTGTGGTAGTATATAGTTCAACGTAATATGGTGATTATGTGAGGTACCCTTATTCCTTCTTGTTCTATCGTATACCTCCTATCTATCTATCTATCGTATATCTTCTTATTCTATCTTATATATGAGAAGTATTGTACTAATTATATTTCACTATGTTTGTGATTTCATTTATTACGATATTTTATTTACTGTAGATTTATATAAGGAATGTTTAGAAAGAATTAAAATAAAAAAAATAAAAATGCCTGCCGAAGAATGTAAAATTGCTGTATGGAAAAAGAGTATTATGAGATAATGAAAGCCATTTAATTTAAAAATATAATTATGAAATATAAAAACATGACATCCTATTATTAAAATTATATATACAATAAAATTCTCACATAACTTGGAATTATTTTACGATTACCTTTAACGATAACCCAAGTTCAACAACTTATTATTGTAGAGCGAACAATAGCTTTCATTCAAGACTATAGCACGAATAATAATTATTTGCCGAACGTTTTCCTCAATTTATCATAGTTGTAAATGACCTATATTAAATATCACCCTCCAATTTAAAAAGGGTTATCAGTTAAGACCCTCATGGCGTAATATTTCTAGATTAATTTTAGAATCTTAAAATAAAACAATTCTGGTTTTGCTTATAAAATGTATAACCTAATACCGATTATATTTTAGTTCCAATCTGAAAATTCATTCGAAGCATTGCATAATATTCTTTTGAGATCACATAACAAATAAAAGATCCTCAGCAGTTTAAAAGAGCATAAAAATCAATGAAGTGTGAAAAACGCACAAGGTAGAAGAAGTTATATAAATGATATTAGTTTGCTTTTATGTTTATTACAGGGAGGGTGAAGTAGTCACATTTACATTAAATATCTCTATAGAAACTGGTTAAGGAAAACTGATCAGGCCGGTGGGAATATCATCTATTATACCCTGCCTCCTGTGATAAAACGTCAACTGAATATATTGTCACTGCAAAACATTTCAGTAAAATTTTATTATCTTGCATCTCAGAAGACCGCAAACTGCAGTATAAACCACAGAAATTCTTGCTTTCCCAAATCATTTTATTGTACTTAAAGTTGATATTGCAGAAACACCAGTTTATTCCAGTGAGTTTGGATACAAATAAATTTAAATTCTATCCACTCATATTATTGTGTGGATTAGTAAGTTAATATTAGCTTCTTCATAACAAATATTTATTAATCGTTTTATATTTTATAACTTTTCACATGGTAGAGGTAAAATAAAATTACTGGAAAACTATTTCAAGAAAATAGCTGTTTAAATTAGATCAAATTTTAATATACATATAATCTTAGAACATTTGTGAGAGATCGTCCGTTTTGAGGTAAAAGGTAGCGTTAATTTTAATCTTTTTATTGCACGGTGCTAAGTACTGTAATTACTTAATTTACTGTATACATGTATGTATGTACATATGTATAGTGGATGTCTGTAACAAAGTTATATTCTAGTGAAGGAATAAGAACGAATATTGTTACAGTAATAATAAAATCCTTGTTTTGGTTATTATATACTTTTTGTCTCGGGTTGTTAGGTAGTTCTTTGGAATATCCTCAGTTCTACTCGTATAGCACGTAATATTCAGTCCAAGTCAATAAAGCGATCCTCGCTATTATGCTATTATCAGCATGTGGCCTAACTTCTGGCAAAAATATATTTATAAAAAAAAATATTTATACGAAAAAAATGAAAGTATAAACTACAATAACATAAATAGTGTATTAGCGAATTTTGCTATAAGAAAATAAAATTTTAGGTAATATAAAGTCCAGTTAAATGAATTACCGTTATTTAGCTAAGTCGTTAATGTGAACCAAAAAACTTTAACGCTGCAAAATTGAATAGGATTATACTCAAATTTTACAATATTATAACAAATGCTCAATTTCAAAGTTTCTATTGTTTCGTAAATTAGTTTCTTTAGAAAGACAGATGTCTGAGATACTTGTAACATTTTGAATTTTATTAAACATAAATAACCTGAATTTATGAATAAATTAGTATACAGTTAGTATGTAGTTTCATTAAGTATAAATATTTACATTAATGATATGATAATGATAATTATTCCTTCAAGTTGCTTTTTTCCTAAATAAAATAACGGTCACCATTTAATTCTATAACTATCATTACATGTGACAACTGAACATTTCTTTAAAGCATTACTTCATCTAGAAAACCAGCTAGTAACTGAGCATTACAAGTGTATATGTTTAAATGTAATTATTTCTGGCGAAAGTGATAGTATTTTATGTTGTTTATGTATAACACATTCACAATTTATTGGTTATTTTGTTTTGGAATATAAACAAGAGATGTTAGTTCTTAATAAGGAAGTAATACATCGAATAATTAAATAAATTTATTTAGCAATAATATATTTAGTAAAATATTGCTAAGTTTTCACATCAATCAATTGTTGTTAGGAAACTGTGTGGAAGTTCTATGATTTCATTGAAATATTCACTAATACAATTATATTAAGAAAAGCAAGATTATTATTTAACAGAAAATCTTAATATCATCATGCGTTGTAACATTTCCAATAACTTTTAAAATAGATAGAGCTTGACTACTTATTACCTTGTAATAAGCTGTTCGCTAAACACATTGGTTCATACTGGCTTATATTGATTATGCAGGAAATTTATTTTTTTATACAGTAAAAGTTCCATCACAGATTTTGTCACATAATAATAAATCATTTTAATTAAATCTACTGCTGTTTCTTATAAAAATCTCATGGCTATTATGTTACATATAGCCTACATATAGAAAGTGTGATTAGTCAATCCGCATTTATCAATAATATCAAAATTTTATTACCCCATTCATAACAAAAATACGGAGCCTTTAATCGTATCAACGGATTAGTGAATGTGTATCAAATTCAATTGCTAATAACAGCTGTGCCTGGTAATTTAGTAATTGGTAGAGTTAGGTCTCTTGAACGGTTAGAAAGTTACCGCTCTCCAACTTTCAATCCACATACTTCAAGGAATAGCATTAAAATTATTTCAGGGAATTTAAATCCAAAGAAGCAATTTTTACCTTAAATTCGTGTACTTCTTTTTGTTGTAGTAATTGAATTTTAATTAACTTGTGGTTATGAATAAGATATCTGTGATCCAGTGAACCGAAGCGATGACCATATTATTACTTTGTTATAACAAGTACACATGCAAGTATTGTTTGTGTAAGTATGATTTTAGAATTTTGTTAAGCGATACTGTCTCAACAGTTTTATTTGAATGTAGTCTTCATTATGAATGAACTGTAGTCTTTACATTACCCCGATATTCAATCGATTGATATTTGTAAAACTGTCTCTACGTCTGATAATAACTAAAGAAAGGCTCAGTGAATTATTTTCATTTGTTTAGCAAAATTATTTAGATATAAAACCTATCAATATGTAATCATCAAGATTTAAGATTTAATACTTTACTATACAATGGAAAACCCAAATCATTACATCTGTTTGCAAAACCACAGATCGTTTGTTGTGACAACAAACGCAAACCAAAATTGATTCGCCACAATATTTAATTCAAAAATGTTTTTTTAGAAGCTTCTTTACCATGGCTACAAATTAAAATGGAGAAGTTAGGGGACAATCTTATTTCTATGACTTCAGTATACTCCTAAACCAGGGTCTTAGCACACTTATTGTTAGCATGTATCTGAAGCAAAGATAGGACAAATACATATTTCAGAGAAGATGACCTATAAATAGATAAACCGCTAGACACATTTATCTCGTATGTCTGTGAT